GACTATTATGTGTTAGTATTGATTTTAAGACTTTATTTAGTGATCTAGACATGTTAAAATGAGAATTTGGACGTTAAGTTGACTAGTGCAAAAATGTGCACTGGCGCTTAAGCGCAATAGTTTAAAAACATGTGTAAAATTAATATTCTAGAAGGGAAAACTGCCTAGAAGTTAGCAAAACATGTAAAGGCAGTTTCTAAACATGTCTAGGAGTTATTGGAAGGATTTAGGCCTATAAATAGAAGGTTTTAGTGAAGAAATTTCATCCTAGATCATTTCTAGCCCTAAAGTCTAAGAGAGATAGATTTTAAGAAGATGTCTTCATGGGAGATGGATTTGAAGAAGAAGGATGAGACCATGAGGAAGAAATTCATTAGTCAAAGTGCACAAGAGATGTATAATGGTTTCTTAGCCGTTAGTATTGAAGGGATATCAGAGAAGATCAATAAAATTGAAAAAACCATGTCTGTACTGGAGACTAAGGTATTGAAGGGATTCATGCAGATCTCGAACATATTGGATGGAAATTAAAAATGCAATTTAGCCACACTAGTTAAAATAGAGGAAGTGGATAAGGAGATGTTTCTTAAGCAAAAGTGGATTGAAGAAGATTGTATCAGAGCACATCACCACTGTCCGTTTTATCAACTTTATATTCCAGTTTCCCCAGGAGAGACTAATGAAAGACCTGAATTTGTTCCTTCTAATGAAGAATGGAATTAAGTTCTATGTTTAAAGTTATGTTTTTGTGTGTTTAAGGATATTATCCTTAAGTGTTTTAGTGTTTAAGACTTGCTTTTAGTGTTTGTGTTACTTAGGTGTTTAACTGTGAAAAATTGTTAAGTGTTTGTATTTAGGAAAATTTTCTCATCCAAGTCAATTTGGAATGAGAACTAAGTGTTTAAATGTATTTGTAATCGTTTCTTAATTAATATAAGTTTGTTTGTGTGAAAATTTTTGTTGTTTTAGCCTTAAATTAAAATAATTATTAAAGAGAATTTTGAGATATAAAAGAGTTACAGGATGTTGAAAATAGTCATTTAAGTGCTATGAGACCATTTAGGGGTGGTTTACTTAGGCAAATAGTGCATTTTACTGTAATATGAAATTTTTGAAAATCGTTCACTAACGCCTAAGCGCCACATCTCGATCTTAAGCACGAGCAAACCTGAGAGGCATGCTCCTAAGCACCACTTACCCGCGCTTACGCGTCAGTTCACGAAAACCAGTTCGCGAACGGTTAAAAACAAGTTCGCGAACGGTTAAAAGTGAAAATTTGAGCCAAAAATTGCCATTTTTATCCTCCTATCACCTTCAACCTCTCAAAAATGTGATTTTGGAGAACTAGGGCACACCATTAAGTGGAGATTTTTTGGTGGAATCAAGAAAAATCTGCTAGATTCGGATTTCTTAAGGTAAGAGCTTTACTTTTATGCAAAAATTTTAGATTTTCACCATATATTTTAAGTACATTTGGAAGAATTCAAAAATTCACTATTCATGGTGAAAAATGAGGAAAAATCTATGGAAATTGCATAGAAAGTGTAGTTTAAGCTTTTGGAAGTTTAGTTTAGTGGTTTAGACTTAATTTGAAAGTTATTGTTGAAATTTATCAAATTTGTAGAATGACACCAAGAATGAAGAGGAGCAAAGGCAAAGCCCCTTTTGATTCAAGTAAATTTGTTAGTTCAAAAGCTCAATATCAGTATAGTGATGCGTTGCAATCACGCAAACTGATTTAGGAGCAATGTTTTAGAAATCTGGGTGGAGATGTGAAAGGGACGTGGAAGATTTAATTGTTCGCCGACAGTGGGAACAATTCTGTTATTTCTCTGCTGTGGCAGTTATTTCTATTGTGAGGGAGTTCTATACAAATCTCTCTGAAGCTAAAGACAATCGAGTTATGGTTTGAGGAAAGTTGGTACCTTTTTTTGCCAGAGGTAATCAAATTGTTTTACCATTTACCACCGGATACGTTATATTTTTATGCAAATTATAGCCCTACTAAAGCGAAGTTAGACGAGATTATCTCTTACTTGATTATTGGGAGAGGACTTTAGAAGATCACTAATGAGAGGAGAGTAATTCCCAACTTCAAAGTTATGTGCACCTTCAAAGGCCTGACACTATTTCATTTCTGCTTGTCTCCTTCCGACCAATCATCTCAGTGATGTGACCATAGAGAGAGCAACGTTGAATTATTGTATTCAAAAGGGAAAGCCCATCAACATAGGGGCTTTGATCTATCACACTATCATCAGTTCTTCTACAGCTACTACTACTGCAGGTATGGGATTTGCTTCCTTGATATTTTCTTTATGCGAGCAGGCTGGAGTAAAGTATGATAATTGGGAGGAAGTTTTGTCACCTCTAAAGCCCATCACAAAAGTGAATGTGAAGACTTATTTTGAGCATTCAATTTTTGGCTGGAGAGGAGAATTTTCCAGGAGTTATGGATTAGAGATGTATGCTACATCTACCTCTACTGAATCTTCATCTAGACCATCTACTTCACGTGCTTCTACATCTAGAGGTGATACCAAGACTCAGGATGAGTTGTTGCAAAAGATGATGGATAATATCAATTTTACCGCTGATATTTTTAATACTTAAATTTCTTTCATTAAAATAATTTTCAAAACTATTATTATATTTATAAGTAAAAGACTTATATCAAGACTTTACTTTAGGAAAGGAGAAGTGAAATTCAAAATTATTAAAGGCCTATCCAAATATAGTAATCATTGCCTGGAAAGAAAAAGAAAAGAAAAAAAAGAAAGAAAAGAAAAAGAAAGGAAAAAAAGAGAAAGAAAAGAAAAAGAAAAAGAAAAAGAGAAAAAAATTAGGAAGGAGAAGCTTGAAGATTAGTACCTAATCAAAAATTGGTTCTTTATTTAATCTTTCTGAAGTATAAGACTTGTGAAACTCTTAGGCTTATAGATACTTATAGATATAATATAGTAAGTAAAATTATATTTAATGAAAATTTTTAAGTGGAGATAATAAAAGAACTAAATTCTAAATTTGAAAAATCTATAATATATTTCTGAATTAGATAGAAACTCATATTTTCATCTTTCTTAACTTTAAGAATTTCTAAACTTTAAGTTGGTCTCATTTACTGAATATTTTTTTCTAAATTAGACTACTATATTTCTAAATCAAAATTTCAGTAACTCCTAAAGAAACTCATATACATACTTAGTGTTTAAAGATTGAAGTGTCACTTGAGGATAAGTAACATTTTAAGTTTGGGGAATTTTGATACACCTAAAATATATAGTGTTTTAAGACACATTTTTATACCTATTTTTGAGATATTGCGCTTTAATGGAAGGTATTTTGGTGTTTTCTTA